GAATCGGGTTGGAATTGAGGGAAAAGGGGAGAGTGGGGGGGTGGTGGGGTGCCTAGGCGAGGTTTGGAGGAAAGGTGGAGGTTGGGGGTGTCTGGGTAGGGGGGTGGGAAGGGTGGTTTGGCCTAAGCTTGAGAGGAGGATGAGGATGGAGAGGTTGGGGGTTGGCCTAGGGGAAGGGACGGGGGTCTGGCTTAGAGTGGAGGGAGGGTGATGGGAATGGGGGTCGGGGTAGCTGATTTATAGGTAGAGGAAGGAGAGACATGGAGGGGGGAGGTGAGTCTGGCCTTGGGGAAGGTGTGGGGGTTTGATTGGAATAGAATAGACTATTTCGGTTGGAAGGGGCCTATAACGATCGTCTAGTCCAACTGCCTGACCGATTCAGGGCTGACCGAGTTAAAGCGTGTTATTAAGGGCACTGTCTAAATGCCTCTTAAGCACTGACAGGCTAGGGGCATCGACCACCTGTCTAGGAAGCCTGTTCCAGTGTTTGACCACCCTCTCAGTGAAGAAATGCTTCCTAATGTCCAGTCTAAACCTCCCCTGGTGCAGCTTTGAACCATTCCCATGCGTCCTATCACTGAATACCAGGGAAAAGAGATCAGAGAGCTGTACAGATCAGTTTGTCTTAGCGCTGTGGCAGAGGGAGAGATGAGGATTGTGGTGCAGCCTGGCCTAGCAGTGAAGGAGAGAAGAGGATTTTGGGTGATTGACCTATGGCTTTCTCTAGTAGGACTAGGAAAAAAATGGGGTCTCTTCTGGTACTGGGAAGAGGACAGGTACTGGGTAAAGATCTGGTGTAGCAGGTGACTATGGTGTGTTTGGGATAGGAGAAGGAAGACTGTACTGGGAAAAAGAAAGAGAAACGGGTGGAAATGTTTTTTGGGAGGGGGGAGTTCTAGCTTGAGGGAAGGAAATCATGAGTCTTGGGGATGGCATTGGGGAAGGAGAGGTGAGAGAGCTGTGCAGGGAAAGAAGGAGAACAGAGGAGGGTTCAGCCTGAGGTGAGGGGGCAGGGGAGCAAGGTTTGGGAAGTGTAGATGTGTCTGTGTTTTGGGTTGGAGAGGTGGAGACAGGGTGAAGATTGAAAGGAAGGCTGATAAGGTTTAACCCAGATGCTGTAGGGGCTGGTGTGGGTTAAAGGATGGGAACTGAGGCAGTCGCATACTTAAATGTATTTGGGAGAGGGTGGTGGGACTTTGGTCTGCTATAAAGTTGCTTTGTATCAGAAATGGAGTGGGATCAAAATATTTTTTCTGTAGAAGGTTGGAAACATGTTGATGTGGAGAAGCCCCTCAGTCTGGAGCTGTTCTTTAGTGGGATCTTTTCAGATGAGGAGAGCTGAATTTCTCTGTGTGCCATAGTAGAGAGGTACTGTGTGTCTATGCCTGCTGCACCTCCTGGAGGGTCACCCCTGAGTACTTTAGGTCTTGTCGCAACATTTGGAGAATTGTAGTTAGAAAACTGGTAGAACTGCGTTTTAGGCCTTTAGTTAAAAAAGAGGGGAAAGTCATGTGATAGACCTTATAAACTTTTTTATAATGAGGGTTGTTGGGCTCACAGGAGTGTTAAACTCATAATTTGTCAGATGGTAGCTTTGGGAATAAACCATCAAAGATAATGACCCTATGGAAACTTCAGCCATGAAGGAGGAGGAAAAGTAAACAAACACCAACACATTAGAAACGTGTGCAGAAATGTTCTGCAGATGATTACCAAGGGCAGGTGAGAAAAATCTGTGACTAAATTTTGGAGGCTCTGAGGTAGACACATTGCAAGGGGATGGTGTCCTGCTTGTGAGCTGACAGCACCTTCTCCCACTGTATGTAGCATCACCTTGTACCTGGACTAATTAGTAATGCTTACATTACACTGAATGATCTCAAAGCACTTCACAAGACAAGGTGAGTCACCCCCTTTTTATAGAAGCAGCCACGGAGTTATGTGTTAGCTAAAGAATTTATACAATGTTGTGGTGACGCTGCCGGAAATATAATCCACACCTCTGATGCTAATCCTAGTTCTTGCTGTATGCTGCTTTGTGTAGCTGTGTATGGTACTGCAGTTGGTTTGGGGGCAGATGTGTCAAAAAGACAAACTCTTTGCTAAAAAAAGAGGTGATTTATGGGATCTGGATAATGTGTTGATGTTGGGGAGCCCAGATTGGGGGAGACTGCATATGTCAGTCTGTAGACAAATGTGTAGGCAAACATAGTTCTTCAAAAAATATGAAGGAATTTATTGTGAAATCATTTAGATGTCACTTCCTCTTCCACTGCATACAGGGAAATGGTTTAAGGACTGTACCCCTCTCAAGTTTATAAACCTATTCTTGACTTTTTTACAAGTAATTTAAAGCCATTTGTTTATTATTTTTTTTTTTCTGCGAACCTAGTCCTTTGCATGGTATTCTGAAGGACTTAGATCTGTTGGTTGTTTTTTTGTTTTGGTTTTTGGTTGTTTGGGGTTTTTTTCTTTTGTTGTGGGTTTTTTTTGTTTATTTCTGGGTGGGAATTCTGAAATGGTATGTTTTATTGCAGGTGAGGCTTTTTTCAGTGTATTTTACAAAACCATGAATATTCCATGTCTTGTAATATAAGGAATTGCTAGTCATGTTTTAGGAGGAATAGAATGGTGAGTGACGTAATGCTGAACTTCAGGTGGTGGGGTTGAAATAAAATGATGGGAGGAGAAGGGGAGAGAGATCCTGAATTTCAAGTAATAGTTGCTTATAGTAAAACAGCTGTGTAAGTGACAGAAGGCCTCTAGCTCAGCGTTTCTGAAATGGGATTGTCAAAACTTTAGGAAGTGTGTGTGTGGGGGGAATCTTTTCGTTTTGAAGGACAGTAGCTGAGCTATTTGGTCTTTAGTGGTGAGCTCACTGTTTACATCAGAGATGAAGTCGGTATATTTAACACTGCTTTTCATTGCACAGCTCAAGTATGATGAGGTGTCCTCCATGTAGGTGCTGTACAAGCTAATAAGAGAGAAGCAGAGGCAAGGTTCTGTTTTACAAAAGGCAAAGTACTGCCAGTAGATGAGACTAAGAAGTTTCTTTAGTATTGAGGAGAATAGAGTTACAAAAGTAATAGGACAATGATGGTTCTTAGCTGCTGAAAAAACGTAATCACAGGTAAATGCCCGACATTATATGACACAATCCATGAGTGTCATAGGTGAAGTACATATTTAGTGCCTTTTTGCAGCTAACTTCAAATAATTGTGACCATTTCTTCTTTTGTTTGTTTAACTTTGGTAAAATTTCTCATGTGTCTTAATCTGACTCCTTGAAGTCTTGGGTTAGATTATAGTATGCTGTTGAATGTTTATAAATTGTAGCTATGTTCTGTAACATTGATGACTGTTTTCATTGTTGAATAGAATCAATCTTGGCTATCCTTACATACATCCATATTTCTGCAAGGTTTAAATTTCTTCTCTGAGAAAGGAGAAAGAGAAGAAAAAAAAAAGTCATGTAGGTCTGATGGTAATTAAAACGTCATTATATTGGGGAAAAATGTCCTGGAACAATGAATGGATTTAATTACCAAATAGGTTTTTGCTTGGAAATTCTGGCCTCAGGCACAGAAAGGAGCTGACTATCAGGCAAAGCCTTTAAGCTCTCAGGTGAGTCAAAAGTCATAAGACCCAAGGCATGTACACATATATATACACAGGTCAAGTGACTGCTTCATTTCTTCTCCTGGACTGAGAGGACTTGTTTTACTCTTAGATCCAGGGTTAAATATACGTTCTCTATTATATATATTTTTCCTTTTGGTAACGGGCATTGTAGGATTTTTGCTTTAGCTTCAGGTTTTTTTACCTGCTCTTTTGGACTTTGAAGAGAAAGAAATACTTGGGAAAAAAATTCTACCTACGGATGGACAGTTCTGTAAAGGCAGCAGCCCCCAAAAGGCTGCCTGAGACTTTTGCATCTACAGATAGAGGTAAGGAGCTTGAGATATGGTTTAGGAAGATCTTTTTTTATGGTGCAGTTGTGAGACTGCATTCAGACATTAGTATTTTCACAGTGTTAATGGTAGGGAGCAGGCTTGAGAGAAAATGCTGTCTTGATGGGGAGCTAGTGGTGGTTGGAGAGAGTTTGTGAAACTCTTAGCCTGTGAAAATGGGCTTTAGGCTGAGATTTTACAAACCTTTAAGAGTTGTTTGCTCATTTACAATTTCTCCTTGCCTCCCTTGTACGGCTGTGCCTGATTGAATGTGGCTGTTGCTCTTAGCAAGGTCTAGGAGTTGTTTTTCAGATGACGTTATGTTCTGTGGTGCCCGTCCCAGCAGTGAGCATTGAGAAACCTGCATTTAGTTCCAGGTTTCCCTTGTGATCTTCTGCAAGGCGTATAATCTTTCAGTGTCTTGGTTTCATCATTATTTATATATGTTATTTATAAAATAACATCTTAGGGCAACAGCTTGTTGTGAGCAGCGTGCTGGTGTTTATGAGATATTCAGAAACTAGTGTAAGTGGCAAAGACTTGCACAGGGTTGGGAAAGGAGATGTCAGGTACTTTGTATGGGGTGGGATCTACTGCTTTCCCAAATGTGACGCACTTTTTTGATAAATTGGGAGGCTGCTGATTCATTTGAAAATTTTTTTTTTCTGGGTCTGATGGGAGGTCTTTCAGTAAATTTCATTTGCCTCTGCAGTATGTTTAGGATACGGGAAGATTGAGGGTGTAATACAAGACGTTTATTTTTTGTTATCATCTGTTCGCTATTGTATTTGCTTCATATCTAGGTAGTGTCAAACAGTTAAACTTAACTTGGATTTGTTTGTAAATCCTGATTAATAAAGCTATAACATGATTTAGTTTCAACTGTCACTGATTTCAGCACTAATGTAATTTATGTTGTTGTTTAAACTGACATAGTTGTCGGTTATAGTAACAAAAAATACACCATTATTAGTACATAACTGTGTATCCATATTAGAAACATTTTCCACTTAAAATATCCTGTAAAAGCCCCTGTTCTGCTTACGGCTGTTTTGGAATCCCACTGCTGATGTTTGTTTCTTTGCAGTCACATTTGATTTTTAGAAAGTATTTTTCTTTTCACTGTTTCTTTGTGTATGACAGGAAGAAAATAACCTTTAAATAAAATCATGATTGGCTACTCACAAAGCCCAACCAAGCTGGAAAAAAGAATTATCTACATCAGATCTGTCTGATCTAACCTTGCTGTATTAGAGGAGTTACCTTCTTTTTCTAGATGGAGGAATTGAGGCCTTTTAGCTTTTTCTCCAAATTATGAAGTTATGTAGCAAATGATTGAAAAAGAAATAATATTTCCTAGAACTTGTCATTGTTTTGTTGGCTATAGCTACTCATTTAAATCAGAATTCTGTGGGCTTTTGCCCACAGTACAGTGTGAATTTGTCTCTCTAGGACTGTGGTTTTATTAGGCCAAAACAGATTGAGAATTTTCCCTTTAAACTTCTGGCTTATTTTTTCCATTTGCATCACTAAAATTCATAATGCCATGGAAATAAGGTATGAAAACCAAAGTAAAGATTTTTGAAGAATGTGACATATCATGTGTAGTCCTTATCTCGGTAATACTGAAGTGTTGAATATATTTAATAAAAGACGTCATTGGAACTGGACTCAGGGTTGGAGTGCTCTATTTAAGGGATATTAATGATGCAGCAGCCTGAAAGCACTAGGAGATCTTCAGTGTGTGCTATAGGAATTCACACCAGTGCTACCTGAAAAAGGACTATTAGCTTTTATATTTGCATTAGGATTCCTAGACATTTCCTTAAGGGGAACAGATGGTACTGAAGTGAAAAGGTGTAAGTAGTGTCAGTGTCAGCCTAACTGGGGATTTTGTGGTGGAGATCTAACTTTTCATTTATTGCACCATCCAAGTAGCAGAACACCTTGAGATGATGTTATGGTACTAATCTGTAAATTGTGCTATGATACATCAAAGGCTTTGAGAAGATAATACGTGAGTAATTAAATCACCATTACATAATGGGTGTTCACAAAGTAGTTGTGGAACGTAATTGTTCTTCAGTGTTCGTGCTGAAAACTGTAGTATTATGAAGGAGATGTTACAGGAAACAATCTGACCCTTGGGTACAAGAAGCCTCTTTGGAAATGTGGAGAGATGCCAATCCAGATATGTTTCATTTAACTTACGTTCCAAATTTGAGATTGTTTTGATGAAAGCGAGCCAGGCCTGAGGCATGTGACAGCTCTTTGTTTTCTCACTGAAATTCCAGATACCAGTGAGCAAGTCTTACAAGATTAATATTATGTCATCAAATAGCATCACGGGCTCCCAGGAAAACATGGCCTGTCACAGAGGTGCAGTGAAATCACCATTGCCCTGAACATTGTGTCCCTTCATGCTGAGTAAACAGTCAGTTCTGCTGGCTCTTTTAAGCCTCTGCCAGTTCTGCTGCTTCTTGCTCCGCTATCATGTGTGGGGAGTTGCTCTGCGTACCAGACCAGCAGCACCTCTTCCAGTACCATTATGGCATCTTTTTCATCTTAATTTCCACTTGAGTCAGTCAAGGTTTTCCCAGCAGGGCTGCTAAGTTGCTTCCAGTTCTTCCCAAACTCCTATTTCCAAACATCTTTGATAGTAACTGAGCAACAGCAAATACTTCACAGAACAAATACTACAGATTTGAGGCATTTACTTTGGCTCTGTTGTTCTATCAGAAGTTGTAGTATCCATTTTAATTTTGTAAGAGGTATTTTTGCAAGTCTCTCCTGAGACCAAGAGTGATGGTCTGAGATAGTGACGATTTCTGAAGAGTATATCCATTTGTGGCTGGGTGTTTCTGCTTGTTAATGATTGAGAGTTCTGGTCAGTTGTGACTTTATTTTCACCTGCACTGTTGAATGCATTGGATAGACATTCTGGGTATGTTCTGAACATACCTGGATGTTGGGATATCAGAGTGGAAGGGGAAGGACCAGTTATTGATTGTGATTGTTGTAGATATATATTGATGAGCTTGCGTTTTGGTATATTCTGGATTTTCTTCAGTACTTATTGGTCTATGGGAAGCTGCTTCTGATGATGAGATGAGGAATGGAAAAATTTTTACATGATCACTTTCCAGCAAAACAGAGTATGTGAAAGGCTTGGAAAAGTTAGTAAAAGTTTTTCATGATTCTGTTTTTGGTAGGTTCCTCTCCACCCCAAAATATGAACATATGCATGTGAACATAGAGAGTAATCTAATTATAAAGCACCTCCCCTGTCCGAAACAGCACAGCAGTTATTAAATATCCAGGGCATTAATGCAGTAGTCGCTTGAAGTTTGTGCTGTCGTAAATCACATGCTGAAACATGATGAGAACATTATAAAAGGGGAGGCAGTGCTGTTATGGAGAGAGCAATAATATTGACAGTCCTATTAAGAAAGGGTGAGCCTTTCCGAAGGAAATATTCGGATGGTTAGAAATGGTTACCAACTTTTGTAAGCCATCCGCAGCTATTTCCAAATCTGTCTTGGGTATGCACCTGAAAGGTTACAGTGAAAGTACTAGAAGCCTGCAGTGGATGAGATTAATTATTTATGAGTATGTTTTAACATCAGCTTTTATATGTTGCTAAGGATTCTTGCTATTTTTTCTTTCTGTTTTTATTCTAGTTTCTCCTTCTGGCTTTGAGGGCCTTGTTCTTGAAGAAGAGGATCTGAACGGCAGGCTGATGAACGAAGACATACGTATCCATAGCTGGCCTTGTTCTTACTACTTGGACACCAGCAAACAATGGGTCTCTGGCAGACTTTCACTGACTCCTGTTGCGATCAAATTTACAGCTAACAAGACTGGGGAGCTTTTGGTCAACTTCCATCTTTCTGGTGTCAGTGAGATCAAGAAGGAATCTTCAAATTTAATCTTCAGCTCCCTTACCATCTTAGAGAAGAATACCAAGCACTGGTTCAGTTCTCTGCAACCCAACAGAAATGTGGTATTCAACATCCTTGAGCACTTCTGGAGGGAGCAATTGCTGTCAAGCCAAGGTGCAGGAGCAGAAGCAGCAGCTTTGCAGTCAACAAAGGGAAGAGAACTGACCGGGTTATTGACTGGATCGCAGAAGCAACTGGAAGACACAGCAAAAGTGCTGCATTACCAGGGCGAGCAGTTTGATAACATCATGAGAGGACTCAACAAGATCGAAGGGGATATGGATGTAGCAGACAGGTACGGTATGCTGTAGCAGCTACAGTACGGGTGGCATCCTCTGAGCTAAGCAGTGGTTGTGGGATTGTATTGTTTATGTCTGAAATTTGTGGGGCAGATCCACAGATGTCTTTAGGAAACTAAACTGTTGACTTTCAGTGAAAGTTTAAGCCTGTGGTGGTCTTTTATGGATCTAGTTCTTGTTATAAGATGTTTCTATATTTCTGCTCTCCCTTTTTGTGTGACATTCTTTCACCCTGGTGAAGTTGTTGTGTGTATGTATATATATATATACCTGTCCTCTGTCCTTCAAATAACTTCAAGCCCTTATGTGTTTCAGCCACAACTGGCAGAAATGATAGAGGTCTCCAAATTATTAACAACCTGTAAGTTTTGAGAGAATAGGCAACTAGTTATGGGAAAGAGTTGCAAATTAATATCCCCACTGAAGGACAAGGTATGGCATTCACATTTTTATTAGATGTCCTAGAATATGCATAATTGAAAAATACTGGAAGTTGGCTTTGGTTAATTTTGCCAGTCCTGGACCAGCCTGTTTTGCTGTTCCACAGCAAACACAACCACAGTTCTGCTTTTCTGGTTCTTTTCAAAGGAAATGTTGAATATGGCAGGTGAGCTGCTGAGTTGGAGATGGTTTCCTAGAGTTATCAGGAGACAGCTGCCAGTTAATCTTTAGTTCAGGTAGATTGTACTCCTTTCTCTGTGCATGAAAGTCAGCTCTTAAGGCTGCTTTTTGCATACAAAGTGTGTGTAGCTGAGGGCTTTATTTTTGCACTTTGCTTCACAAGAACTTGCTTCCCAGCTACACACAGTAGTGAGGATTGGGTCTGTGGTGCAGATGTAGTGAGGGAAATGCCTATAGAAACAGCGCTCCCTTATTTGTGCTATAAAACTGTACTGCTTTTAACCTTAGTTGGAATACTGCCTGCCTTTAGGTCTAGGTGGAATAAATACATTTCGAGGAAAAAATGAGCAGTGTTGAGCAACACTGAGCTGCTGAGCTTTGTCTGCAGAGTGTGGTGGTGCAAAAACTGGAGAGAACTGGAGTACTAGACTATTTGTGGTAATCTCAGTCAGGCACTTAAGCCAGTGTATTAAAAAAAAATTAGCCACCAAATGCTGCCTTTAGACAACTGAAATAAGAGATTTGGAGCACATTTGAGACGTTGCTTAACTTTAGCTGTTGCAGACCTCAATGTGAATAGTAAATGGTTGGTGTCTCAATCAGAACATTATGACTTTACTATTTAATGATTAATGTTCAAAGTGAATTATTCTGTGCTATTCTGTATGCTGCAGGTTGGATTCAACAGCAGTCCAAAATAGACAGTAAGGTTAAGGGTAGTATTGCAGTGTTTGAAGATACATAGCTATGAGTGTCTTCGTAGAAGCTCTGACACCTGCATGAAGAAACAAATACAATAAAGTTCAAACTAGTTGTTTTTGGAAAAAGCATGTGTTTTTAGATGGATATCATGTCTAAAAGAAAGTGTTGATTTCACAATGATTCTGGTGATATTCTCCATACCCTTTAATGAAAAGCCAAGATATCTGAAAGCTTCAGCAATAGCTTTTAAAGTTCTGTAGCAATAAACAATGAGTAGGAAAATAAATACCTGCTCATTGTTTTTGGAAGAGAGTTTTGTTTTGGGTTAAGATGCACTGGGAGGTATTATTTGTCCTCATGAACCTGAAGAGCTAGATGCTTTGATTTAGAAATGGAAAAATAAAGGAAGGCATTGACCAAATGTTAGCTGAGATTCTGTTATATCTACATACATTATGAAGAGTTTGGCCAGCTTGCTCTCAGGCTAAAATGCAGCCCAGAAGCCATTAGTGAAACTGTTTTAATTGCACTGTGCTTTTTGAGGAGTTCTAACACTTAGTTTTCTAGCATAGTGTGCGTGTGTGTGTTTTTTCTTATAAAGCTGCTTCCCCCCCTGCCCCCAAAGTCTCTTAAACTGATGACATCTTTCTTCATGTCCCTAACCAGTGTAGAAAATGGGGAAGACCGTGATTGAAGCTCATTTGATTGTTACATATTGGGTAATTCAGACTATTAACATAGATAAATATGCTAATGTCTATTAAGGCTCTTTGACTCTTGCTTTCTTCAGAAACTTGATGAGAAGTGACTACGTGGATAATAGCGAGCAGGACTATTTTGCATGTGTAGCAGATTTTGTGCAGAAGGAAACTTTGGTAAAAACTTTTGTGTCTGCTAATTCAAGGTTATATGAGCAACACCAGTTTGATGGTGGTGTCTTTCATAAAAAGAATGAGGCCCCTTTATCTACTTTCATATGTTTAAAACTTTGATTAACTTTATCTTGCCTGTATGTGTGGGCTTTTTTGGATTATTAATTCTGTTCTTGTGTAAGCCTGGGTATATACAGCTGCTTTCAGTGGACTTGCGTGCAGATAAGCAGAGCTGAGTCTGACATGCTAGCAGATGTTCAAAGACCAAAAATAAACAGAAAGCCAGATTGACTGGTTCCTTTTTAATATATTACTATGAGAGGACAAGGTACTCTGGTTGCAAATTTTCATTTGTATATAAGGACTGGTCGTATAGTTTGTTGATACAGAGGGGTGACTCCTCCGTGGAAGGCCAGAGAAGCTGGCTGGAGCATTTGTTAGGGCTGTGCAGCAGAAAAATCATGACTATAAATCAGACATTGCACAGCCAGGATGTCAGTCCATGGGGAAAGAGGGGAGGAGATGGGTGAAGGGATAAAGTGATAAAAATTAAGGCTCAAATAAGTTACCACAATGTAAATGGAGGTTTAGACTTGTCACATTGCAGCTGCTTTTCAGTAAGTGAACACACATGCTTTTCTAATGGTGAATGTGATGAAGTGAACCCATATTGCAGTGGGAATTTAATGACTTTTAATAGGTTAAGACATAGGCATAAGCTGTCGTTGCCCTGAAGTACCTTGTTGTAACTCTGTAATACACCGAGAGGACAGAAGATGTGCTTTGCGTTCTGTAGGAATGAGATCAGGTCATTTGTTTCTGTTTAGTTACAGCAGGTAGGTTAGAGCATGGCTTTTAATTTAGAAGATGGTGTGTGCTAGCAGAGCTTTGGGCTTTTCTAGTCATTCTCTGTGTTGAACTTAAGTTGAACCTCATAGTTTCAGAATTCAGCCCTAAATCTATGATACTGTGCCATTTCAAATTCTGTTATTGTAGAACTTTCTGTTACATCTCCTTTGGTTTGTCTTTTGTTTTGTTTTGTGTTCCCTTTTTTTAAGGAGTGTCACAGCATTTTCAGAGGGCAGTGGAGAGCTCCAGACCCATTACTCATGTTGCATGCTATCTATATAAATATATGATGTTCATGCTTTAGTTGGGAGTAGATTCTTGGAACAATTCATTCTGCCGCCGCTGTCCATGAATTCAGTGGTTGACTCTCAATATGACTTTTTCCGCTTTTTCCAGCAGATGAATTTCTTTAGATAGGTCTGTTTTGAAGCTGGTGCAGAACTTTGATGGCTAGTAAACAAAGTGTGTTCAGTTAGAGCTTCCTCTTTCAGATTAGACTTTGTCTGCAGCCAAATTAAACAGGATTTTAAAATTGCAAAGTTCTTCTGTAGACACAGTCTGATTGTCTCATGGAAAATAAATCATTACAAAAAGTATCTGGAGAGCAGCACTGCTGTGATGCATATTTTGTCAGGCAGTACCTTTCTAGAGTAAACTTAAAAGCAAATTAAATCAAGCTGGCTTGCCAAAATAGCAATGAAGCAGTAGTACTTTGTATTTTGGTCTGGTAAGGCTTGCATCTCTAGGATTTAAGTCAGTAAATCGTCTTTTGTAGCGTCAGTAAGATGACAGTGTTTCATTAAAGATTTTATTTCATGTGGTCTGGCTTCATTAGAAGCATCTACTACAACTCCCATGGCAGTGGCAGATGCCTAATCACTGGGTAGTCTTTAAGTTATTTATGGGGTGGGGGGGAACACAATTCTGAACTGGGTTGAACTTCCTTAGAGCTTTTTTTTGTGTTTGATTTAAACATAACATCTTCCCTCCCATTAGTTAATTAAGAATCCATTTGTGCCTCCAGAGATGGCTTTCCTGTTCTGCTCAGTGACTGACGGGTGGGCTGAGAAATCTCCATTTAAAACATCCTGATCAGGCTAGTTGCCTGCAGGCTGGTTTGGTTTGTGGGATGCTTCCAGCCAGCTCACCACTGTTTTCCAGTGAGGGGTTGTTTGAGCAGTGGATACATCCCAGAGAGTTGACTTGCCTGTTCCTATGCCTGCCTGCAAATGGAGATAAGCCATTTTGGCTCAGATGCGAGGCTGGTACCAGAGGCTGCTGGTGGGTAAGAGAGGAGGTGGCTGCTTGCACAGTGAGATATGAAGTTACTGTTGACTGTGTGGGGGGATGTAGATGGCCCCAAAATTTCTTTCTAGCTGCTCAGGCTGAGTTGTCCTGAAATAACAGGATCTTCTGCTAGCAGGATGGTTTTGGGTGACGGGCAGGGCACGAGAGGAGAGTGGGAGAAACAGAGCATCATAAGTGCTGACTGTGGTTCTGCCTCTTAACTCCTGTCTAGACCTGGAAAGGGATGCTAACAGACAGCACAGCATGTGGAAAATCAAACCAAAACCACCTTTCTTCTCATTGCCTTTTTTTTTTGATGGAAAGAATACTTGTTGAGGCTTAGATCCAAAGATATCTGTGATTGTGATCCTTTCTTGGGAGAGGACCCCAGAAAAAGGGAGTGGGCCATGCTGATAGAAAATACAAGAGAAGGATCGTGTCCTACATATCACTGATTCTTCCTAACAGTGTGTTACACCTTTCTTGAGTACAGCTGATAAACTTAGGTGCCTGCTTAGGTGCATCTTCTTGCATAGAAATAAGGGGCTTCACTACCTGCGTTATTTCTGGCTATACAGTGGTCTTCCTTGGGAGCAGTTGCTTAATGTCTCCTAAAGTGAGTCCGATAACTTTAAGCTAAGGCACAAGTTTGCCAGCAAGGAGGCCCGACTCCTTCAGGAACTACACCAACGCTGATGGTGAGGCAGATGCTGGATGCCAGTGGGCAGTCTCTGCTGGGCTTCTCAGCCTCAGCCTTGCACTCTTAGTGTTTTAACTGGCAATGGGAATTTGGGAGTGGGGGCAAAGCAAAAGGTGGCATCACACTATGGGGCTGAGGTATAAAGGAGCAGAAAAAGGCAACGGTGGTGATGGCCAAGTGTGGAAACATTGAGATGAAAGGCAGTGTTAGCTGAAGAACAGGTGGGTGTAAATTGGCCTGAGTAAATCCAGATGGAAGCTGGATTTCTCACATCAGAACAGTGAGATTCTGGGACCACTTTCCAACATGTTAGCAAGCGAAGAAAAGCTTGTTTTTAAAACGGATGGATCCTGGTAAGCCGTGAGTAGGTTTGAGGAACGAAATAACAGAGGACTGGATTCAGTATAAGAAATCTTTGTGTCTGTGGTAATTTGCTTTGAACTGGTGGGGTAGCATGACCCTCCTACTGGCTTTCACTCGTCTAACACTCTCTTTTCTCTGCTAGGTTATTGACTGAGCTCGAATCTCCTTCTTGGTGGCCGTTCAGCAGCAAGCTCTGGAAAGCGCCATTGGAAACCAAGCCAAAGGAAACTGCCACAGTTTCCGATTCGAAAAACCAGGAAGGAATCATAATTAGAATTCCAGTTATTATCACCCACAGAACAGACTCAAATGTCAAGCCAGGAAAACTCACGCTCTTCGCTTCTGGCCTGGAAATCAGTGACTGCAATTCTCAGGTCATTCACCGGTTTGAATCAAAGGATGTAGATGATATCAGAGTTCATACGCCATATGAAATCAGTGTCCGTCAGAGATTTATTGGGAAGCCCGACACCTCTTACCGGCTCTTGTCAGCAAAGATGCCAGAAGCAATCCCCATCTTGGAGATGCAGTTTAGCAAGAAGATACAGTTTTTAGAAGATGCTCTAGGATTTGTTGGTGCCAGAAAGTCTCCTCAGGTAGATTTGGGGACCTCCATTTGGCAAGCAGGTATGTGACAGACAAAGCAATTCATCTGTAAGCAGTAACACTAGTACCAAAAGTTTCCAAGTGGTTTTCAAGCTCAGAATAGTGTATAATATTTACAAGGCAAATCCTCTCCCCCCAGCCCCAACGGTGAGACCATGCTGATGATAAAATGCAAGAAATAACTGCTAGGTGACTTTAGGCCCTCTTGCCAAGACGGAGAGTGCAGAGATAATAGAAGTGTGTGGCCCTGTTTTAGTCTAGTTGGATTTACTTTCTCCCAACTACATTTGCAAAACCTGTGACTGTAGATGCTGAAGCTGGGTGTCCCTCAGGAGCCTGACAGCTGGAACATGCCAAGCTCTCTTTAACATTGTGCTCTCAGCTGGTGTTGTCACTAACTCCACACCATTTTGTGAAAGGATTAGCTTAATTTGAGTTTCAGCTACTGGCCGGTGTTTTAACTACAATGTCATTCTTTTTCTGGTGGTCACCAGTTCAGTATTGTGCCACTCTGTGGGTAAGGGTTATTAGAAATCCATTCTTCTCTCGTGACTGCATGCTTCGGAGTCCTCTGTCACTGCTATTTTTCCTTTTTCCAGTTCGTAGCTGGAAGCATATTTTTATTAAACCTGTCGTTCAGTTAATTGTAGAAAATTTAAAACAAATTTCCAGTCCAACAAGTTTTTAAATAACATATGAGATAAACATCACGTTAATTTTCATATCTTAAAAAGTAGGATTTTGTTATTTGAGAAGTTCAGGTGTTTGATTTAGGAGATTTTAGGTCTCAGATTAGGTGAATGCATAGTTTAATTGTTTTAAGAAAACACAGTGGAGACTGAAACCCTTTCACAACTATAAGAATGACATTCCTTACTACTATTACTACTTCTAAAATTCCGGGCAGGGTTGTTTTTTGGTTTTGTAATCCAACCCTGGATTCATTTGGAGAGCTGGTGAATTTTTGTCTTGTTAGGAGTTTATTTCTATCAACACACCTGAATCCTCTTTTTTCCTAATTGTTAGTGACAAAGAACAAATTGGTGGATGGATTTATTGCCAGTATATTAAAAACGAGTAGAAAAATTATACAGTAAAACAATAGATGAACCTATTTCTGTGCACCAAGCTAAAACTGGACTTCAGCAGGGAGGATAATGTCCTCTTGTTGACGAGTTGTCAAGGGCCATAGCTTGGAAAAGCTTGTTAATTTTTAAGGAAGTAAGTCTTGGGCATCTGGCACTAAAATGTCAGCACAACAACTTAGAGGAAAAACAACCTGCTGGTTTCTTAAGCACTGAGTTATTCCAGCAAATTGGTGTTCAGTTCCTGATGGTCTTAAGACTGGTTACATAAAATAATTGGTTATACAGCCCTACTGTGCTTAATTTCCCACTGCTCTGCTCTGTTTGCATCTGAGTCAGTGAGTCAAGGATATTGCTCTCCTACCCCCACCTGCATTTTGACTGTTTAATTTGGAAATGTCAGTAAAGAAAACTGGAGGTTATGGAAATCCTGACTTCTCCAGCTCCACCAAAACCCTGTTTGTTCCTTCCCCAGAGTCTGTCGCCGTCTTGTCTTCTGTCACAAGATGGCAGTCACGGACTGCGTTTTAACCTCTGGGTTTTTTCCATGGCTGTTCACATGGTGGAAATACTGATTTTTGTTTCCCCCCCCCCCCCCCAAAAGCAGGAGGGAAGAAGTCTGTTATGCATGCCTGCCTCTGTGTACACATAAAATATATGTGTGTATTTTCAGATAGCGAATGTTGATTCAGAGACTTACAGGAGAAATATCCTTGAAGCGGAGCTATATCTGTCTTGGCAAACCAGCTGGTAACGTTCTTTGCCCTCAGTGGTGCAGCTCAGAGATGTGAACATTTCCACAACTGTCATAGTCTCATCTGGATCCTGTCTGTTTTACTAGTCCTGCCTTAAAGTTGTGCATATTGCACATTTGTATAAGTAAATACAAAACCCTCTTATTTCCTAAGAGTTTTGGCTTGATTCCACCTAGAAGAGGAATTTGTGAAGAGTTTTGTACACACCAGATTATCTGAAAGTATTTTTAGCTGCTTTGCATGTCTTTTCTGACTGTATTTTTTTGGACCAAGCCACATGGGTGTTTAAATGCTCAGGGCAGAGCAGTGAGATTTGCTTTGTAACTGAGGTTCTTCTGTGCTGGATCAAACCAGTACTTTCCTAGCTGATAACATCCTCAGTAATGGCTGGTAACAGCTACCCAAGATTAAAAAGCACAAGAAATCCCGCAGTGTGTCTGCAGTCTAACAATCTAGGGCAGTGCAGTCTCAGTCCTAGCTGAAGACTGGTGTTCACAGTTTTTTATCCCTTTCGAGGCTGCTTACCCCTATGACTGAGTGTTCTCATTATTATGAGTTTCCAGCACTTTGTTCAGAGTTTGGTAGCTTGTCGTCCTCACGTGGTGGCAGTCGAGTCTCACAGTCCAACTGCGTGTAACACAAACGAAACAAAATTGCTTTTTAAGTGTTTCTGTCTTTCTATTCAATTCTGTCCCTTTTTTAAAACTAGAAAATTGCTGGGAAATGCCAGATCTCCTTCCTTATCCCATTCTTTTTGTGCACCTTTGTCATGTCCCCCTCCTGTTCTTGTCCTCAGCGAGATTAACGGAGTGAAATGGATAGATTTCTTGTTTTTAATGAAATAATTAGCATATGGTGACACTCAGCTGATAAGAAACACAAAGAATCTTGTCTGGCTATTTGCTGCTGTAGGAGGGTCTGCTGTTCCCTCCCCACTTTGTCCTCTGAGGGACACCATGACAGTAAATTACCAAAAGCAGTGTTTTTCAGTGCCTGGTTCTTAGCCCCTCCGCATACAAGGAGCATTTGCACAGGGTAACACTAGTGCAGTGAATGACTTGCTTGTCTTAAATCTTGATGGTGTCTGAGTCCAGTGACTCTCAGGCTGATAACCGAATAATTCCAGGGATTATGAGTTTGCAGTAATTACTTGAGAGGGATTTAGGGTTTGGTGCTTTTGGTTTAGCTTTTGTCTCCCTTTTCACAGGGAAGTAATGCTATCCAAAGTGGTCAGGTGTACACCGTCACTTGGCCAGCCAGCAGGGCACCAGCTCTTCGACCTGGCGGTGAGCTTTGGCCTCTGACATGCTTTCTGTCCTGGTGTACATAAGAGCTGCTGTCGCTGTCCTGTGCTGGGTCAGGCCATGTGCACACAGGTGACAGTGGTAGCATTAGCTTCTTTCTTGGTGCCTCTTTAAGTGGGAGAGCTTCGGAGATGTTTGAAGCGCCTCTAGGAGCCAAGATGTGTGTCTCGGGTGTTTAGCACCCATCTGCATCAGAAATAACAACCTTTCCTTGCAGCACGTCCCTGCTACCCTACTGGGTAGTATCAGATACTGCAATAAGAGCTGATGCTTTAAATAAAGGACAGGTGGCATGTTACACGAGGGATTGCGTCCACTCTGCTTAGCTGGGGGTGGCTGTTAGCGTCAGTGTTGCCCTTCTGTTTCAGGGGTTTGCTGACTTGACTGTCTGTCCCTGATCCATCACTTTTAAATTCTTTAATTAAAAAGGTTAAAGAGAAAAGAAGCAGCAGGTGGAGAATTCTCATTTATTTGATTGGGAGTGTGTTGCTGCTTCTTTGCTCTCTGTTCAGATGAATCCCCACTGCCCAAAATGAACCCATTCTGCAAATGCTGCCTTTAATAATAAGTCATGTCTTGGCAGCCTGGTCACTTCCAAGTTAGGCATTGTACAAAGTACAGCTCGAATCCTTTCTAGAAGAACATAGCTTAATGGGCAAGATTGGAATAGGCTTCTCTGTGCTTGTCCCCTCGCAAACTGCTGTGGAGCAAAGCAGAGGTCAACCAGTTTGATACTAGCACTAGTCCTCCCCATTGGTACAGGAGATGGCAGTCTGACCATGGGAATTTCTCTTGCAGCCACAGGACTCCTGGGAGGAGTGGTGCAGCCCGGCTCTCCGGTGGGAGGCAGAGAAGGGATGGACAATGACCAGGTTCAGCTGCAGAAGCAAGAGAAGATCTCCCAGGAAGAAGCAAAAGAGCTGAAACAGGTATAAGTTGAGATAACTTTGATAAGAGTTGTTTCACTCCCTCTGCTTCCTTAATAACCTGCATTTTCATCATCAGAAACATAGTCATTGTCCTTAAAACATTCCTCTACCTAAATTTAGATGGGTATATTTTAAAAATTAGTTAATCAAGCCTGTGATTAAAATACACTGATAACTTTATATTGTTTTTAACTATTTTGAACAAATTGGGGATTATCAGCAAAATGTATTAAGTGATAGGATTATAACCCAAGGAAAATCCTTAACTGTAACCTGTTTTTTCTGAAGATTAAGAAGCTTAACAATTAAATCATTTTCAGCTTTTTTTGTGTTTTCCCTATGCTATCTTATTCTTTTTAGTAAGGATAAGCAGTTCTGTTTCAGAAGCAGCCACAAAGTTGAACAAAGTGTTTTACAAACACACAGAGAGAACTTGTAGTTAGGAAATAAGTATGCAGTCCAGCAAATTAATAAAGGGGAAATAGGTTGGAGATTTTACTAGACAAAAAATATTTATTTAAAGTAATCCAGTCTGATATTGTTCCTCTAAATGGCTCTTCAAGGAATTTCCCTCATAGCTGATGTTCAGAACTTTTAGTGAAGAATCCCTCTTTGTAGTATGTGGTTGATTGGAAACAGTGAGCTAACTGGAAAAGCAAAGGAATATGGTTTTAGTGGTTTTTCCATTAAAATAGGTTTACTGGTGATGATCACAGCCACATCAGAAGATGTGATTGAAGATTAAACTTTATTCTCCCCCCTCCCCACCCCCCCTCCAGCATCTTATTCTTTTTGATATTCCATCTGTAGCTTGGTGATAGCATCATGTGAAGTCTTTGATAATTCTATTGCCTCTTAGTCAAGCCTGCAGTTTTCCAGCCCCCTTCTTTTATTTTATAGTTGGGTATTAGAATACGGCAAATTCTGTTAGCTTGAGTGCATTTGAGAGTCAAAAGCACTTAGTAGTGACTTGAGTGGCTACAAATGAAAACTTCTTGCAAGAAAAATCTATTTATTAAAATTAACCAAAGCCAGTTGGGTAAGTGAGAGTTTAACCTTTGCAGAAGATTAATTTCAGAAATTTCTGAAACTCGCTGTGCTGGATGGCGGACTAGAAACAGCGTTAAATGACCAGTGTTAAAACAAAACAAAACACTTTCAAGATTAACTGCAGCTCAAAAGACAATTCTGGTATTTATTTATACCACACCAAGCCAAGAATTTTTAAGCTAGTTAATGATTTGGGGTGAGCTTGTGGGGTGGCGTGGGTGGGGAGAGGATCTGAATGCCAAACTGACAGGCCATGAATTGGCCTGATTTTTTTCCCAATAATTGCTGAGCACCTGTTCCCTGAGAGTCAGGCCTCTTTAGTCATCATTCTAGTCATGAATAATTTTAAGGTACATGCCGTAATTTCCTGTAAAACTCCTGTTTCTTTTCCTTACTAGGAATCACCACATAAATACACAGTCTTAGACCAAAACTTGCTTCTGTAACCAAATTATAATCAAGATCTTTTAACTGAAATATCATATTTGGGCTTTTTGAAAAACAAAATGGACTATTCACCATTTAATCATTGTACCTTCTCATCTTTTAAAGACCTTATCTTTTATCATGACCTATGATTTTATGAAAAAAAATAAGCGGTTTTTTTTGAAGCAGCGTTGACCTTTTGGAAGATTTTAAGGGAGAGTATTTCTCAGTTGTAGTTGTACAAATAGCAGCAATCTATTATTCATGCATGTATACACTTTGTACGACTGTTGTGTATGCAGAAGGGCTAGTTGTTCCTTCCTTAAATGCCAGCTTTTCAGCACTATAGTTCTGATTTGTAGCTGTACACAAGAAAGCTTAATACAGTATGAAGGGTTGTTGGTCATGGACTACTATTGAAGACATATTTTGCTACACCTTGCAGAAAAGGGTCTCTAGGAATTGCTTCCCCAGGGCCAGTTTTTGAACACCAAACTTTGTTAGTGCTTGATATTATCAAAGTGGTTGGCTGTGACTGGAGAAGCAGAGCATGGGGAGTTCAGCATCTTCCAACAAATCTTGTGAATTGGGAATGAAGCCTCTGATGTTGTACAGACTGGTGTCTCTCCAGCTGCTCCTAGTTGTCAAAGCACTGCTTTTTCTTATTGCTCTAAAGTCAAAGCAGAGTGAAATAGCTCAGGATCTTTCAGTTCTGTTAGGAGAGAATGTGGTGAGATTTAGAGGGGAAGTGTAAAGATGTGGAAGTGAAGGAAAGCATGATTGAAAGGGGGAGTTCCTACTAGTAAAAGGGAATTTGAAAGATATAAAGGTTGGGGATGTATTCTAATGGGGTTCAAGGGCAGCATCATGGTAAAAGCTATACAAAGCCTTTCGGGTATTGAGCCCCTGGAAGCGTCGAGGTGAAGATCTTGAAACTACATCTGAGCAGGACATTTAATACTTATCTAAAGGTATGTCAAGGCTTTATCTAAGGTTATATTTGCCATATTCAGTCATTTTATAGTTGAGCAGGGGGTTAAGTCCATAAAGAGAAAGCAGGGCAGGGAACCAGGAGCTTTGTCTCACTTCCAGCTGTGTGGCCTTAACAGTCAGTCATGAGCTAGGTTGTAGGGTGCTCCTTGCTGAGGTGTAGGCTGCTGCTTTGTCCTTTTTTTCTCTGAATATGTCTCATAAACGAGCAGTATGCATAGTCACATAGTTGTTTTTAGCCTGCAGCAAGGGCTTGTCTTTCATTGATGCAGTTGCTCCCAGAGAGCTTCTTTGCACTGCTTCAGTTCAAGTCCCACTTTGGGAATGAGCAGGATGATGGTTAAGCATGTTTTGCAAAGCATTTAGAGAGTAAAAAGGAAAAACAGTTACAAGTCCAAAGCATTAACATGCACTGAAGACAAGGATACTTGTGGCATCAGACTTCCATGAATGAATTGAAGGTATTTGAAGTACTTATGTTGATAACTACAGTGTTTTTCTGAGCAGTTTCTTCTCTTGAGGATTATGATCTTTTATTCTTTGATTATCTGTAATGCAAGCACTTGTTTTTAAAAAACAAACCAACAAAATCACAAAGCCCAGAACAGCTTGGCTGTCCCCCTCATTACTTGTGATGTGGGTAAGTCCAGCAGAATTTTTGAAGTTGGAGAAGTAAGAGGAATTTGTGATGAACAGACAAATAGTTGTTGCTCAAAAACAAAGTACTTGCAATAATAACAGTAGATGTTTTGCAGCAGGAGTTGTTGAATGATGTTGAATTCCTTCCATTAGAGCTGGAAGCGCTGAGCATCTGCAGTTGTGATCAGGTGCCTAAGTAAAGGACTTCACCAAGACTTCATGAAGGGACATTTATGTTAAAAACACAGAGTTTGTGACAGTGTAAGCTGTGTTCCTTAGCTGTGCTATAGAGATGGAGAGAGAAGCCTACAAAGTTCCTGTGGTCTCTGGCTGAGCCTCTGCCTACCGCCTCGCTGTGGCTGACATAATGGCACCGGGTGTGGGAGGGGATATGATAATATTAGCTTAAGGGCTGTGGTCGAGGGGGGGGAATTCACTAAATTTGAATTTATTTTGCCAAACCAGTGCTTTCTAATTTCCAAACCCGTTCCTGCCAAACAACTGTTGCCCTGATATTTACTGTGGGCAAATCGTGTATGCCATGAAGACAGAGATACTATTAAAGATGTTAATTCTGTAACGTTGGGGAAAAAAAACACATCCCAGTGCATATCTTTGTGATGTTTGCTTCCTCGATGTCTTCTTGGGTCTAGATAGTTCCATTTCAGTCCTTTTCTACTTTCAGAGTCTCTTCAGTGTTTATTTACCCTTTTATTATGCCCTCATCTCAGGAAATCACAACCGTTAGGTCAGAGAAAAAGTGTTTTGTTGAGGAACCGTTCATTCCAAGTGCTAAATACCAAATTTGCTCATGGGATGGCCTTGTTCCATGGCCTGTAGCGATCAACTGACAACTGATCTTAACACACACGTGTAATGACCATGCCCTGGATTTATTTTTTGGAAGGCACAATACAGGGAGAGAACTGAGGTCCTCACAACTAACGCTTTGTATTTGCTTGTCTGTAACTTAAGTATTTAATGATACCAAAATAAAAGGTGGTAGTTAAGCCTGTGGAGCTGCTTGAGTATCTTTTTTCCAGACAAGGCCATTTGTATGTTAGTGGCACCATGGGTGCTTAGTACTCCCTGAAAAGGTAAATCAAATTGGACTTCTGTCCAAGACGAACTAATGGGAGAAATCACCCACTAAGAATAAGATAGTGAGCAGTGACCCTTCCATGCTATCTGAATAGCCACTGGCTCAAAAGAGCTGATGCTTTAAAATTTGTTTACTTTTGTGTGCTTCAGTTACAAGGGACCCGCTGTCCTGTCAAACTTGCCTATTCCAGTGTTTTCTGTGATCAGAACTTTTGTGCTACAATAGACACGCTGATTTTCTAGAGCAGGCAGAAGCACTTTTGCTAGTGGCTGGTGTAGAGTTTGGGTGTTCGTACACCAAATACAACTCTGGATCAAGCAGAAGGAAGGTCTGTGCTTTGCATAGCTACAGGCACATGCTGATAGTGGCAATCCCAAACAGGAAGCATGGTGAAGTAACATAAATCCATAGATTTTTGTTATGGCAAGGTGCACTTGTCTCATGAGGCATTGACAAATGTCCTCTAGTAAATTGTGTTGCAGTTGTTTAATGTGTTTCTGCTCTCTGCTGTCTCCCTGCCCATTTCCAGGTGCAGCAGGAGAGGATGTGGACAGGCCTCAATATTTTTGGTGCAAGATCACTCAATCCCTATTGTGGGTTTGAGCACACTGGACTATTTTAGGTGTTGTCCCCGCTCATCTGCAATATGTTCAGCACAGAGGTGAAGCACTGTATTAAATCTTGACAAGTTACCGCTGTCAAAACCTGTGTTTACACCCTAGTTCACAGTGCTCCAAATGACACTTCTTTGTTTCCTAATAACAGGTGAATTTGGCTGGGGAAGCTGCATTCAATAGCCATTTCTGGTTATACATGCTCTGCTTTAGCATTCAGACCTCAGTTGCACAGGGATAATGGAGTGGATGTCAGGGACGATTTCAGGGAGTTCAAACTGCAACTGGCAATACTTCCTGCAAATGACACTTTCTGTGTCTTATTTTTACTGCTGGATACTCAGTGTATTACGATGGTAGATGATAATTCACAACCTTTAGCTAAACTGCATTATTATGATGGCATCTCAGGACCCAAACCAAACTGAGGTCCGCACTGTAAAATCTTTAGGATACAATCTGTGTTTGTACAGTGCCTGACACTTTGAGTTTAGGTCTTCAGGTGGTGTGGCAAAATGATGAAATACAGAGCTAAGTACTGAGCAGGTTCATGGGCTTGGAGTCCTCTCCTGTCATTCCATTTGTGTCTGTTATGACTGTCTCCAGCTAAGCTGGATGCTCGGCTCTCACTTGAGCCAAAGCAGAGAGGAGTGGGCAGCACTTGAACTCCTCCTTAAGCAGGTCCATAAAATAGAGCAGATGAATCATGACCTAAATTGCACTGCGTTGTCTAGGTCCCCATAGTCTGTACAAGAACTTGGGGTACATAGCTTGGATGGACACCTCTTCTCCCAGCAAGGCCCAGGTCTGCTGTAGTTGAACACTTGACACAGGGTGGATTTGGAGAGCAGTGACAAATTTGCTTCCTTGGTTTTTACAGCAAGAACTCTGTGCGTGGGAATATTAGGTAACTTGCCTGAAGTTGCACAGAAAATCTGTGGCAGAGCCACAAAGATAAATCAGACTTTCCAAATTATAATCTGGTGGCATAAATCTGAGGCTGTCTCAGTGTGAGATTGACCAGTGCCTGAGGAAATGTTCCTTTAAAATGCGTCTTTGATGGCCTCATACCTGCTGTTTGGCTTTGTGTAACAGATAGAGTTTCATGCTGAGTTTTCATGTCTTGGTTCACTGTCCAAATTACATGCTGGCACAGAAGACACTGCTGCTCTGAGCAGCTGACAGAACTGGAGCAGTGATAACTAGACATCTTGCCATCATTTTGCTTTGCAAAAATAGTGACCAGCTTTGGCCAGACTTCAGGTTCCAGTAACTCTTTCCAGCAAGCTCTGTGGACTGTGCTGGAAAAGCATCTTAACCATTTCAGGTCCCATTGGATTGAGTAGCAGCTCTCAGCTTGAACAGTTGAAGATGTTGACAGACAAAGGGTTAAGGGATTTATTACCAGACTCTCTTAGGCAAAGAGAATTAACAGATGAAAGTGAGCCACTTGCCTTTTATTTTTGTGTGTGAGTAACCACATCATCATCGCCTGCTGTGTTTCAAGGCAGAGCCTAATTGGCAGGTGAACTGAGCAGAGCCCTGTAGCCGACTGAGTTTCCATTTTACTGCTTTCGTATTTTAAAAGCTTTTCTGTTCTCAACAATTGTGTCTTTTTCTGTATTTTAAATGTTAAGCATGCTCTAATAAATGCAAAGCCTATCAAAAGTAATTTGGTTTGAAACTAAAAATAAACTGGTTTTCATGGCAAACCTGAGCCTTTTTTTGGGCACAATTTTGATTTAAATAAATGGGGTGCCTCTTGGGGAGGTGAGGAAGGAGGAGTGTCCCTGCTTCCTTTCTGCATCCTCTCATGCCAGTCCCTGCTTTGCTACATAGCTCTCTCGGAGGCTTGCACTGCATGTCACCACATTTACCTTATGTGCTGGCTCAATGGATTTCACAAGCTGAGATGTGCTGGGTGAGGACACGGCTCAGGAAAGCTCAACCTACCACACTGCTAAGGGTGTTTGGTGATAAACTTCCAATAGTATGTGCCTTGCTGCAGCAGAAGGAGGAGTTGAATGGCCAGAGGGCCCATTCAGGAGCATGTGTCAAGCCATGATCTAGAAAGCATCGTCAGCTGGTGCTACTTTTGATCTGCTGTGCTGGAAAACTAATTTTGGGATGCTCTTGGATAAAACTCTTTAGTAAACTTGCTGAAAAAAATGTCAGTGTGAACCATCTAAATCATCTGCAAATCACGAAGCACATGTCTTTCACTGCCATCATTTAGGATATACTGAAGGAATGAGGTCTCTTCTCTCTTAAACTATTATAACGAATTAAAAGTTTATTGGAGTGGAGGCTGAAACCCTGTAATCTTCTCTTAGCTGAACATTGAAGCTGGTCTTGCTCTTAGTTGGGTGGAGTGGACCAGAAGACCTTCAGAGGTCTTTTTGAATCTTAGTTATACTGTGACTTTATGAACGGTAGGAGTCATTTCATGTAGCACTGGCTACTTTATGTATTTATATGTACGTTTGTATATATAAAATATATGCAGAAGAAGCTCAAAGAAAAGACTGAGGGAAAGCTACCTCTGAAGTTCCTTCCCATTTCCAAGTAGTAAGGTTACTTCCTTAGGAGAGGCAAGACCTTAATTCAGAGCTGTGTCCTGAATCATACACGTGATAGATCTGATCATGTAATTTTTGGTGCATATCCTACACACGTCTACCACCTTCAGTTTGGGGAATACAGCCTCACTTTCCTCTTACAGTGACAGAACCTGATGTGTTTCAGTTGGGATAGAAACAGAGGGGGTTTTAGCTTGTAGGTTTGGTAAGAAGAGAAAAAAGTAGATTAAGCTTGATCCATGGTTTGTTTTGTATTTTTGCTTTGGCAGCCAAATTGCAAAACCAGTTATTCGCACAGCTGTATTTCTAGCTGCTTGTGATTTATGGAAAGAGCTGAGAGATATTTTACGAGATAAATCTCACTACTGTGGCTGACATCCAGCTTTAGTCAAAGCATTTTGTCTGTGTAAAATTCCCCTGCCATTCCAGCTAGATATGATATTCCTCGCTGCTTTTCTCAAACTGGTAACTTGCATAGCTGCAAACGATGGGACTGCTGTGGAATTCAGCCCCACATGTGGATAAAGGGGCTGCTGATGTTTCACAGCAGCTTTCTTGGGGCTGATTATATGTATTCTAAAAGGAAAACAAGAAAACAGAGTTCGCCAGTTGTTATGAAAAAAAAAAATTAAACATGTATAGAATACAATTCTTTTCCCCTATTTTACCAAAAGCCACTGCTTTATTTGTTAGACAGGCTGCAGTTCTGGTATCTTCAGTAGCATTACCTGGATGCTCATGTACCACAGCAGCTGATGTTGTGGGATAGTGCTGGGATAATTTGCTTCTTGGAGACTATTATTGCAATTGATTGGATAAACTGCTTTTATTAAGCAGATAGTGTGAGGATATCCTCATCATCTGTGGATGCCTAAGGAAGCAGATCGTGTAGGCCAGCAGAGACATCCCCTTTATGATCTGAAGCAACTGAGAAGCTGGATTTCCAGTCAGTGTGATATGATGCTCCAAATCTCCCTCTGATACATCTGAGGGAAGGCAGCTGAGGCTTGCCTGTCGGGCAGGTGCTTTCAGTTCATACAACCAGGTTTATTAAGGGAATAGCCACAAGAGGGAAGAAAAGGCAATGATATGACTCATGCCTTGGACTGCTGCTAAAAGGAGTCAGTGTTACAGGGTAAGGAATTAAGACAGATTTTTCTTGTGTTGTTTGGATCTCTGCTCTTGGACTTGGTTGTGTGAACTGATGAAAATTAAAGTTGAGTAGGCCCCATAAGTCAGTGTACGGTATCATTATGGATGTCTCCTAGCCTTAAGAGTGCATCAGCCTGGCTTTCTCCTTTCATTTTAGAGGGTTCTGCCCTGTTTGGACCAGTATCTATAGGCTTTTTCAGACTACAGGGTCTCCTCACAATCTTGGAGTAGCTCAGGGTGTTTGCTTACAGTCCCACATACAAACAGTAATTTGCTAAGTGTAGTGTAAACCGTTTGATATGTAATATAATGCTTGCAGCCTGGAATAGAGCTGTAGCCAGTGCATCTGTTGTTTCTCATCTCGGGTACAGCCTGAGCCTCTTGGCTGCCTTGACGTCCGTTCATACCACACCACCCTCTAGTTCCTTGAAAATTATTTGTTTAGTTGCCCAAGTCTCACTTTTTCCCTTCTGCTCCATCCAATGACACTTCTTTCTTTAGTGGTTTGTAGTAAAACAACGTTTCTGTCCTTTGACCTGGTCCCTGCCTAACCTTGCTACGCCTTCAGCCATGTGATCCCCTTCTGGCTTTGCACCAGCTTTGCTCTCTGTCTGCAGCAGCTCTCAATGTGCGTAACATCTCAGGACAAGCTCCTGCTCTAAGATGCAGACATACCGAGGAGATAATAACAGAGCTAGCAAAAAGCTGATGTTTACACTGATTTTTACTTCTAATTTATTTCCCTCCCGTATAACCCTAACATTTCAGATTGGATTTTTCTGGTCTTTAGTTCATTGTTTAGTTCATCTCAATTCAGCTTATTGGAGCAAGACCTGTGTCTTTTCACCAGCACGCTTCAGCACAGACTCCAACAAATGATTTGGTCATCTAAAGCAATGAAATAACTAATTGCCATGGGTCTATTACATTTCTCAAAGAACTGGCTGGTTGATTGCTGAAGGCTCTCAGTCTTTTCTTCTAACAGATACTAAAGAAACTGAAGGGCCTTGCCTTGGAGACAGAAGCCGAGCTGGAGAGACAAGATGAAGCTCTCGATTCCATCACTAATTCCGTAGACCGCGCAACGCTGAATATTGACAAGCAGAACCGCAGAATAAAGAAACTAACGTAGCACTTCCTGGAGCCAGTGGGAACGGTATCGTGAGGAAGAGGAGGATCGGGGAACTGTGTTTTTCAAGACTGTTTCTTTAATAGACACTTTGATTGCGTGGGAGGTGTTTGCAATATTGTCTGGAATATGATGCTGCTGTTGTCGAGTTCCTGAGGGTTTTGAAAATGTTTCCAGACTTGGATGATGTTTGAAGGGCTGTTTCAGGATTAAAAAAGCTGAGACTTCTAATTGCAGTGAAACAATGATAGTGGATTCTTTACTACAGAAAATCTGTAAATATGAAGGGGTGTGATACAATCTGAATCAACTTTTATGTGCTTTTTTATGTTGCTACTTTTGAAAGGTTTGGGTTTTTTTTTTTACTGGAATGAAGAAGTGAAGGAGAAATGAACTGCATATGAGACTACTTTAGATGATTGCAGCCTATTAATTCTCTCTCAAGGTCTTTCTTTAAAATAGTTAATAGCTGAACTAAGGGCCAGATGTTCAACTGCAAGTCATTGAGGCTTTTTTTTGTAAGTTAATGCTGAGGTGAGCAAATGATGGTGATAAAACCTTGTGTTCCCTGAGCAAATAGTTTTAATAGGTTTCAATCATGCTTTTAATGTACCCAGAAATTTTATAAGACTAATGAAGACTTAGTGGCCACAGCTGTCTGTTGCCATGTCCTGGGAAATCAAGAGAAGGTGGTTAGTTAATGTGCATTATTGGTAGAGACATCTACTTATTGAGCAGATTTTTTTTTTGCCATTCGATAAATGTTTTGCTTACTTAAGTCACTTATAAAAAGTAAGTGTCGAAGTTTAATACATGCTTCTGCTTTCCAAAAAGGGAGTGCTGATCTTCAGTGATCATCTACACATTTTTGTGTGTTTTATTTTTCCCTTTTAAACTGCATACATAGTGAAGGAATTGATCTTGGAGTGGAGAAAGTGATTTTCGTCACATGTGAATTTATTCAGTTCTTGGAGTTCACTGTTTGTATCCCTCACTTAAAGTGGTTTTACATTTTTGGTAGTCTGACATGGGATGCAGTGTCCTCAGAGTGTCGTGAACATAGTGTTTACTTAGTGTGGTCCCTAAATACCATCTTGGATCTGGGCTGTCACACCTCTGATGGATGTTAATGGAAGGTCTCTTGTCCCTTTGCTTTTTTTTTGGTGCTTCATTTTCCAAGGATCTCCCTACTGTTCATCTCTGACTCTCTAAATGGGAACTTCATAAGTTGTGTAGAACATCCTGTGGTTTTTGTGTCTACTCCATATTCACAGGCTGAGGGGCCTATGGTCGGAACTGTAGACATCTGTATAACATTTGATAGTCATGGTACATCCATCGATCTTGTGGCTTTTATTTATTTGCACTACCTGGTGGTGAAGCATTTCAAGACTTCTTATAGACCTGTATTTCTAAAATAAAAGGGAATACTGTCAATTGTTGTCTAATACATTTTATTGAGGTTTTAGTTAGCTCCATTGAGACTACAGGACAGTGGAGACCTTTTCCCCATCTAACTTACTTGATATTATGTAGGAAAGATTCCAGGTAATCCATATATCTATCACCTGTGACAGAAAACTCACATTTCATCAATTCCTACAGTTTTCCAGCTATTTTAGTTCAAAGTAGCTGTTGTAATATGTCTCTTTTTTTTTTTTAAAGTGTTTTTATATTAAAAAAAAATTCATGTATTGCTTTCAAATACAACACTTTTGGTGCAATTTTTTTAACTGTGAAGCTTTGAACTGTTTATTCCACTGATAGTTGATGTGAAATTTTCCTATTTCAGAGTAATTCAGCCTACATTTTAAAGAAAGGTACAGTAAATCACATAGAGTATAGAACCATAGAATCATAGAATGGTTTGGGTTGGAAGGGACCTTAAGGATCATCTAGTTCCAACCCACCTGCCATGGGCAGGGACACCTTCCACTAGACCAGGTTGCTCAAAGCCCCATCCAACCTGGCCTTGAACACTGCCAGGGATGGGGCATCCACAGCCTCTCTGGGCAACCTGTTCCAGTGCCTCACCACCCTCACAGTGAAGAACTTCTTCCTTACATCTAATCTAAATCTACCCTCTTTCAGTTTAAAGCCATTATCCCTTGTCCTATCACTACATGTCCTTGTGAAGAGTCCCTCTCCCATCTTTCCTGTAGTCCCCCTTTAGGTACTGGAAGGCTGCTCTAAGGTCTCCCCAGAGCCTTCTCTTCTCCAGGCTGAACAACCCCAACCCTCTCAGCCTGTCTTCACAGGAGAGGTGCTCCAGCCCTCTGATCATCTTTGTGGCCTCCTCTGGACCCGCTCCAACAGGTCCATGGCCTTCTTATGTTGGGGACCCCCGAGCTGAATGCTGCGCTGCAGGTGGGGTCTCATGAGAGTGGAGTAGAGGGGGAGAATCCCCTCCCTCGACCTGCTGGTCACACTTCTTTTGATGCAGCAGTATGTTGTTTTCAAGACCTTACTCTACCTTGTTTTGTATTACTTCATATTAGTTTGTTAGTATTGGAGTAAAGTGTACTTCTGCACTGCAAGTTCTTAATTTACAGTCCAAGTTGTTACTGGCATGCACTTTACCTACTTGCTGAATATGGTGATTATATATACATACACTATGTACTGTGAAATAAAATATTGTCTGGGGTTCTCTTGTTTGTTTCCGATACCCAAATCACTGTTGTTTTACTGTGAAAGGAAGATATGTTTACACAACTAATTATTTCATGAAGTTAAAAGTATACTTTGCACAAAATGTATGTTAACTGAACCTGGTGCTGACTGGGAACGAATCTCTGAACTGAATTAGTCCAAACCAGGATTGCCAAAAGTAAATACTAATTACACGTCGTTTAGTTTAGCATTCTTTGTGCCATACTTTTTATTGTTGTGGTTTTTAGTGCTAGCTGTTGCATCTGATTCAGTATTTTGTGATTTGTGTTAGTCCAACATGTCCATACTAAAGCAAAAAATTGTAATGCTGTTTGTAAGAAGTGACCCATTCTAGAGCTGTGCATTAGCTGAATTTCATGTGCCCGGAGGACTTTCAATCTGTAATTTCTTCTTATTAAATATCTTGGAATAGTGATCTTCTCTCTTGTATTTACTTGGCTGAGAAACTGCAGTAAAAATTACTCCATCCACCCCCTTTTCATCCTGTGGAACAGAATTTAATGTGGCACTTCTTGTAGGGTTGGGTTTTAGGATAGGCTTTTTTTTTTTTTTTTTAAAGAAAGAGGGAAAATATTAACTGGTGGAATATTGTCAATGTGAATGTCAGCTATCCTCAGCTGGACAATGAAGTGGGTGAATGTCAGCACAGTGTACGTGGCGGCTGGTACTCTGTCCTGGAGCCTGTTGCACAGGAGCTGCTCCAGTTCTTAGAGAGTGGACTAAGAACTGCTTGGACATGTCACGATTTGAACAGCTTCTCGGTACACAAGTATGAAGATTTTACTCTGATCAAGACTTCTCTTATTAGGTAATAATACAGCTTCTGTTATTGCCAGAAGTGCTTAAAGCCTCCTACATTCCCTTCTACCCTAAACCCAAGTGCTGTTATTTTCCAAATAATGTCGTAGATCTGGACCAATGCTCCATGGGGGAAGATGCAGCAGGTAACATGTGCCAAAGAGTATCCTTGTGTTTCGTTCTTCACTGACGTAATTGTTATCTACATGAGGCTAGAGACATACTTCTAGGATAACTTTTGCCTTTTATATGCAATTTGTTAGTTCTTTGCTGGTCTTTTACTACAATGTGAAAAGAGGGGGGCTTTTTCATTAGGAAACATAAGGAGAAAAAACTAATAAAAGGGATTCTAACCTAAAAAATAAAAAGGTTTTACTCGGGCAGGCTTTTGAGCCCCTGCAAAACAGAACTAGATTGTACTGTATCATATGGTAGGTTTATTATGCGATGTGTGTTCATGGCAGCGATGAGTGAGCCTGACTGGAGCTTAAATGTATTTCTGCATAGGAGTTTGAATGTCTACTGTGGAATCATTGAAACACTGGTAATAAACATGGCACTTTGCAATCCTCAGACAAGTGGTGTAAGGAGCTTTTTTCAGGCAATTAATTGATTTAACCAAAGCCTCATAATAGCTGTCTGTGTTTCCAAAGCCAGTGCTTTGAAACCACTGGTATGCTCTTCACAGAAGGAAATGGAGCAAAGCTGCTTGCAAGTGTTGAAGCCTGCCTCTGGGAAGAGTGTTTGGGAGAGAAATTGGCTGTATTTGCTTTTTAATATGACAAACCATGGCAGCAGTATCCCTTGCCTCTGCTCGCTGTGTGTGAACAATCTCAAACCTCAGCCTGGTAGAGGGAAAAATAATTTTATAATGATTCTAGTCATAGGTTTAACAGCTGGGCTTTTCAGAGTAAACAGCGCTTGGCTCACCTACTGCCCTGGGCTCGCGTGTTTGCGCCTTTCAGCTGGGCACGAGGCTCCTAATGGGGCTGCTTGGGCTGTCCATTGTGGACCCAGTGGGAAGCGTGCTGGTTTGGGCTTTGCCCACCAGCCTCATCCCTGAGGCAGAGGTGCAGCATGCACTCGCTCAGCTCATCCCAGCCCAGCAAGCCCGTGCTGTCACCGGCGAGCATTTTGCCTTGTCAAGGTAAATACAGTGTGTGAGGCCAGCTGCGTGCGAGCCAGGGCACACTGAAGGCAAAACAAGTACCCTGGATTCAAGCTGCCTCCTGTTTGAAGTGGAAAAGTATTTGCTTAATTGCTTTAAAAGTCCAGCCTGGCTTCTGTCAAGTGGTTTAATTTTAAACCAGCAGATATTAACCCTTTTATGGTTTGGCAGCAGAGGGGTTAAAGTAGTTCGAAATTAAGAAGCCCGAGTTCAGGATTCTGGCATTTTTTGATTGTTTCCTAAGAATTTAATTAGATCCTGGATCATTCAGGCTGGGAGGAATAAGAGCTGAAGAGAAGCAAATGGATGATGGTATCGTAAGCTATTGCCTTATAGCAGGCAGTGCACCTTGACCATACCAGCCTGATGCAGCTCCTAGTAGGTAGTTAAGCCTTAAGCTGTCTGCTTTCCAAAAGGTGCCTGCCTGGGTTTTAGCCGTGTCCTCTGCTGCTCTCCGCTTTCCTGCTTAGCACTGTGGATTTGGTGCAGCTTAGAGAAAAAACGCATGGAGCAAGAACTGCCCTGTTTTTTTATGTGACGGCTAAACCACTGAACTATAAGGATGCTCATGGGGGTGAGACAGAAGTAAGGAAGAGGGAGAGCAATGGGTCTTTTGCCTCTCAAAAGGATGGTGTGGATTTGGGTGTAGACCCTTGTTTTGCTGGTTGAGAATTTATTCAGGAGCTGACAGCAAAGAGCAAGCTTTGGGGGACTGGGTTATATCAGGATGGAGGGGGGAAACAGTGCTTGAAATTTCTGGAAGAAGAAATTTGCTGCGCTTGGTGGGATGGGACTGCTTCAGAGAGGAGAAGGAAACTTGAGGTAGAAGGTCTGCCCTTAGTCTGACCAGGTTTCATTTCTGGCACTGCTACAGGCTGTCAGCCATGTGTATTGCTTGGGTTTTAATTCAGATCCCCTCTCTTGGGGTTCATGCTCACTTTGGGTATGCTCTCTTTGTATCGGCTGAAAACAAGGATCTTTCCTTTTGGTGGTTCAGTTGCTTATCTGTAACATGGCAGTATCACTGTTTTTCATCTCTTCAGTACCGTAAAAAAGCTAATAATCTTGAGTCCTAATTTATGTTAAATGTGCCCATCCTAATGTGGAGCTACTTTTGTAATTAGGGGAGAAAACCCAGCAGTTCTGGATACTATGAATGAACGTTGAACCCACTGGAACCTCCCTCTGAATGAATTATTGGTCCCCCCATTTCACGGGTGGTGGAAGCAGAGACACCAGACTGTCGGCATATTTAAGGATCTGCCTGCAAGGAGGACTAAGCCAGAAACTGCACTTAAGACTCTGAAGCATAGGGTTAGGAGCAGGACCATCTTCTAACACTTGGTGAGGCTCATGAGGCTTTTCATCATTGTGTAGTGTTTATCGTAGGCTTGTAAAATGCTGCTTAACATTTCGCTTCTAGTTTAGACAATAAGCATTTATTTCGGCGAACTTCAGTGCATAATGTCTGCAAAGACTGCTTTAGTCCTTCTGAGAAAGAAGGACCTATTTGAAAATGTTCTGATTTCTTCCATATGGCACATGTTTTTAGCGCGATGCTTTGTACAGCGGTGAATGTTGTTTACAGCCATGAGGACGCAAACAGAGACAGGAGAGGGTAATTGCAGGTATGCAGCAATGCCAAGGGCTCCCTTCCATGACGGCATCTCCATTTAGCTCTCCTTGTGTTGCCAAGCTGCTGAACGCCAGAGGCTGGGAAAGGAATCCGTGTTCGGTGAAATGGTTTCCAGGACTTGAATTCTCCTTTAGGAAATGAACCTCTTGGGCTGCCTCCATTCTTTTCCTTGTAACTTCTGCGTAAGAAGCAAACCACACTGGAGGCTTGCTTTTTTTTTCTCTAATACACTGTATTAATCATGTGTATTTAACACAGAGTTTGGGCTGAGGTTTTGACTGGGCTTGCTGGTTATGCTGCATGGTGAATACCGGAGGGTGTATCAGCTTTAAGTCGTCTCACGGCATTCATAAAGTTGTATAAAAATCACTGCCTGCGTTGCACAGAGGTGGTAACCGTTATAGAAATTGAAATGTACCATGGTAAGGCCTCAAAATTTATAGTTGCCTAAATAGACCACATGATTTCTAGTACGACTGTTTGCCAAGCCTTTACCTTTAGCTGAAACAATTCTGAACTGGAAATGATGTTTTATCGGAAGAGAGAATCAAGGTATCAAAGTGCCATCAAGTGATGATGGATGCACCAAGCCTCTTGGTCACCTTTTCTCCTGCCTGTGGTTTCA